TCTTCTGAACTAAAATCCTTAAAAAAATTATCTTACTACATAAATCCCAGTATCTACTTTATTTATTTTTTTACCATGTTATAAAGCACAAAATAAAAAATATAACATAATCATTTTTATGTTAATAAAAATGCTTAATATATTACTTAATATTGGAAAAATTTAATATACAAAGGAATTTTATTTGACTCGACATTCGAGCAGCATTTATATTTGATTGATCTTAAAATCTTCATTTATTTTTCAAGGCTGCACTTTAAAAAAAGATGAAACTGTCCAGAGAGCTTTTCTAAACTGAATTTCTTTTTGTTTTACACTTGTGTAAAACAAAATGACCATCTGTCTAAGTCTAATTCATTTAGGCATCTTGTAGCACATCTACATGTGTATTTCTGGGGAATCTTTGCCTATTATTTTAGCAGAAAGCGTCAACATGAAATGAAAATGTATCTGAAGAAAGTTGACGTGCTTTTAATGTCATTTATTCTGAATAAAGAACGTTTTAAACAAGTAACAGCTGTGTGAGCAGTTTCTGTAAAGCTCCAAAAAGTCTGATCAGCTCCAGATTTAATAAAACTAAAAGAAATGTTTATTTGTCACCAGGTCAGACCATTAATACTTCCTTTTCACTCTCCTCACATAAATACCATAATCAATTTAAAACTCATCTGTCTGTGATCTGAACATATTAGTCTGGATCTCTGAAGTTTTCTAAAGTTACTGTAGAAAACAGAATCAATCTTGGAATCATGTTGCTTGTGTTCAAGTTATTAATCTGTATCTCTAAGGTCCATGTTGTTGCATTAGGACTTCTTCCTAATCAGGAGCAGACTAAGCTTGAAACACTCCCTATGTTATACTTTAAGAAAGCTTCATATTTAGTAGATTACAAACTTTTTAAATTAAGTTTTAAATATACTTACAATTATAAAACTATCCTGTTTAAGAGCGTGTGTGCTCTTGTTTTGGTTTCAAACTGACTAAGACCATTTTTCAGATTTCAGCATCAAATGTAAAACCTTTAGTACCAAAGTGGGAATTTTCCTCCTTGTTTTCTTTCTTGCTAACGTTTAGGATTAAGGGAGGAACTGATTAGTTTTAGGGTTAAAAATGAATGAAACTCAATGCAGGTTAATGGGATTAAACAGTGGTGGGTAGTAACCAGTTATATCTACTTGAATCATTTTTTGAAAAGCAAGTTACTTTTATGAGTAGTTGCATTTTAGCGTACTTTTACGCAAGTAATATTCTTGTGAAAGTAGAACTACTCTTACATGAGTGAAAATTCTGGAAATTCTACCCATGAGTAACTTTAGCTTGAACAGTAAATACTGATGCTAGAAGGTCTTCAGCTTTCCTGATACTGCAAGGATTGGTTTTATTAGTTTATGCTGATATTTTGATTTAAAAAACCTTTTTCTGCCTGAATTTATTTAGTAATCGTGGTTTTAGTTGTATTTTTTTTTTTGCACATCATTTTATTAATTCGATCAGAAAATTCAATCAAAAGTTAAGTAGCTATTTTACCAAGTTCTATTTAATTCTTCAGTAATTTGTTGGGAGATTTCTTTACACTTTCACCTGAGTAAAATGTTAAGGTCCTCACTACATATAGTAAGATGAGAATTTGTGTTTATGTTTTGATTAGAAAACAGCCAACAGTTGTTCTGTGCATGAAATGTTGCATTCAAATACAGATAAACTAAAATTTTAAACTATGGCAGACATGCCAAAGAAGTTAAAAAACAATCCACTGGACTTGAAGATGTTTCATTCCCATCCAACAAAGCCTTGTTATGGCTTAGAAAACATGTAAATTGAGCTAAAAAAAAGCAGGTCCACCCCTTAGTAGTGGGGAGTCAATGACGTTATTGTTGGCCTGCAATATCCGATACTGGTCTATGTCTCTGAAAAAGCGAGTCATTAGGTTTATTGTTGGCCTGGCTGACCAGGCAACATGTTCTGGTCCCTTGCATAGCGATGGGAGTTGAGATGATAGCGCAAAAGAAATCAACAGGTTGTTTTTGGTTCAATTTGCATGTTTTCTAAGTCATAACAAAGCTTTCTTGGGATACTCTATAAGGTTGGAACTCCACGCTAATTCAGGCGTTTTGAATTGTGAAAGTTTCCTGGATGGGAGGCGAAACGTCTTCAAACTTTGGAAAACAAATTCCAGTGGATTGTTTTTTTTTTTTTTACATTTTTAACTTTTTTGGAATGACTATGACCTGGATGACTGAGAATCTTCACCAGCATATGATAGACATGGCGGAAGATTTAATTTAAAAAGCAGATTCTGTCCCCTGAAGTTTTAATGAAACATTGAAAAGCTCATTTAAAAGAAACAAAAAGAAAAAAGGATTTGCCTTTTACCTGAATCTCTTCCAAAATTTTTTTACTGTAAAGGATCACGACATAAAAATGTAGAAACTGACAATACAGAAGCTTTTCCAACAAATTTACAGAAAATGTACTAAAACTCTGAACAGCCCAGATACATTTCACAGTTCTCTAAGGACAAACAGGAAGTCTCCACAGACTAACAAGAACAATTATAGCAGCTCTACATGTAGTTTTCTATAGTTAGCATCGGCTAACTAGAAGCAGGATTGTCTAAGACATCTGCAGAGATCAGCAGGAGATCACAGAGCCTCATTACAGGAGCTTATTGAAACAACAAACCTGAAACAACAGGTTTGATACACAAAGAAAAGAAAACAGGCAGAAGGAAATATTCAAAGAAACCTGGTTACATAAAAAACCCCGAACATTAAAACTACAGCAGATGGGGGTGTTTGTTTCCATCAACACATGATCAGAGGCTGAAGACCAACAGGACGTTGCAAGTAGTTCTAAATTATAAATTACACTTTTAGGACAAAAATTAATTTATTCTGTTAAAGAATGAGGTTTCTAGCTGCTGACTGCAGCTCTTGTCTCGTCTCTACAGACTGAAAGGCTGTTTTATCTGCACAGTGTCGACGTCACAAGCCTTCCGCTCATTTCCTACTAAATGTTTACAGTCTGCCTCCTGATGAAACCAGTCAGGAGAAACATCGCCACGCGGCGGCCGTCACTCGGTGCATTCAGCGATCTCTGTCCCGTCCACCAGCAGGGTGTGGATGATGCCGTCTCGTCTCTTCCCGCTGCTCACGGCTTTCACGCAGCAGTTGTGGTCTCCCAGAGAGAAATGCGTCTCTGTGCCGTTGTCCACGAACTCCCCCTGCAGACACAGGCATGAAGACATAACCATATCTGTTTTGCACTGCTTCGGATTATGACTGCTGAGGATCCGAGTCAAAATGTGTTTCTATACGTGACAGATGAAATGTACTTTTCAATCATCGGTAATAAGACTGAAAACTTACAGCGGTTTCAATCTTCTCCCCGTTACACCAAACATCCATGGTGCCTTTCTCTGAAAGCAACAAAAGAGACGAGTTCAGTGACAAACTGCTGAAGGGCTCTGGACGATTAGAGCAGTTGAACTACCAGCTTTGAAAAATAAAGTAATGATAATTGAACTTTATTGATCTCAAACTGGAGAAATTTACCTCTGTATTTAACCCATCCCTTTGGGGAGCAGTGGTCTGCCATCGTGGGGCGCCCGGGGAGCAGTGTGGGGTTAAGGGTCTTGCTCAGAGAGCCAGAGAAGCAGACTTTGGTAGTGGGTTTCGAACTTACAACCTCAGGATTCCAAGCTCTATGCCCTAACTATTCTTTATGGCAAATATAACAGGGTTCCTACAGCATAAGGCGAGTTAAATTCAAGACTTTTTAAGACTTTTTAATGCCACTTGAAATAAAAATTTAAGACCAAATTCACAAGAAACAAAAGAAAAACCCGCTTGCGACAACTTAACTCAAAGGTTTATTTAATCATAAACCACAGCACTAATGTTTCAAATTTTGAAAAGCTTCCCATACAGGAAGAAATCTAAAAACACACAAATGACGGATATATTTTAATAATTATTTAACTGAAATCACAAGCTTTGTTTTAGCAGGGAACAAAACAAATCAGTTTTAAAGCCGCAACATAACCAGTGCTAAGTTTTTTTTGCAGCTATTTTACTTTGTATCGTTTTTAGTATGTTTGATTTGGTGGTCGATTTTGACGCTTTGTGTTTCGCGCTTCGCATGTGCGACTCCACTGCCTTAATTCCCATCGTTCTGAGCTTGAATGACT